TCACGAGATCAAGCAACGTCCGCTTCTCAATATCGATCTCAACCAACCTGCTGTTCCGGAAATCGCCTGAATTTTTTCTCCGCCGAACGTAAAACTGGAACATCATGAATTCTTATTTTCCGTTCTTTAAATTTATTTTTCTTACTCTTTAGTCGTTAAGAAAAAAACGAAGGTAGACTAGAGAAAATGAGACCAAAAAAAAGAAGATTAAATTACGGCGAGAGATGTGATTAGTTGATGTGATCTACTGTGACAATCTTCCGATCACAAACCAACGGCGGCGGAGGGATGTGAATACTTAGCTGATGATCTCCTCTTTTTTTGCAACAGAGAAATATCAGTTTGTCTGTTGTTCCATAACTAGTACTGTGCTTTATTCTCCCAATGAATTAACACCAAAGAAATTCCTCCAAGCAGTTTTTTTTTTGTTTTTTTCACACTCTCTGCATTTATGACCTGTTAATTCTTCTATGATTAATAATTTTAATGCAGGACTGGTATCCTCCGCCGGAACCTGAAATACTGTTCCGGCGAGGCTTCCGTACACGGACAGTGCAGGGGATTAATTATTTACTTATTAAGATAAAATTACAAAAACAACAGAAACGCCTCCTATTTGCTGCCACGTGTTTTTGGTGATCTATACGGGAAACTAATATAGTTAAGATTTGGAAAAGGTAGGACAAGTATAACTTACTACTTACCAGGTTAGCTGCATATATGATAGGGCGATTTTTTTTATTATTTTTGATAGTTTTCATTTTATGAGCAATTGTTGCTCTGGGTGGGTAGCCTCTTTCTGAGTCAGTTGGTTACTGAAATTGATTTAATACCAACTTTCTTAATTTGCAAAACTATCCTTCCATTTTTGAGAAATCAAATAATGGGTTTTGGGAATTTCCCTTTTTCCAACTATAGATTCACATAATTATGCTCAACAAAAGAAAAAATAAAAAAAAGGGTTTTAACAATATAATCTAATCATGGATAAGTAAAGCAAGCAGAACCGTTTTTCGTTTTTGTGAATTTCAATGCATGAAATAATTATGAACATAAGATTTGTTGAGAGTTCAAGATTCAGTGTAAGGAAAAACAGACTTGGTCATCAATTATTGATACTACAACTATTTATATCTAGGTTAGGACAATTCAAAAGTTCAGAATTTAATTACAAGATCTGTTCCTGATCTCTTGGTTTTCCTTTATTCTTTGGTAACTTTTCTCTATTTAGACATGGAAGGAGAAATACAGGATTTGTGCACTAAATTGACTTGTATGGTATACGTGGCGAAACCTTATGCCGAGATTGCTCTTTATTACCAACGTGGTATTGGAGGGGAGAAGATATGATAATATTAAATTAAAAACAGTGGCAGCCTAATAGAAACGGGCAATGGGGGCAAAGCAGTAAATAAAGAAGCGCGGAGCGGGTAAAAGGGAAAACAAAGTGAACATGCCAGTAATAGGGGGCAGTGAGGGGGGAAAAACAAGCGGCGCGTGAGGGGATTAAAGAGCGGGTTTCTAGGTAGGAGACCGAAAGGTAATTCCATGTTGACTGGGTACTTCTCGAGATTCGTGTCTGAACTGCACGTGTTATACGGCCGTCCGATCCTTGCGTGTGTTTGTGTCTTCCATTTTCAAATCTAATCATTATCGCAATTGTTCTCCTTTTTTTTTCGCTCTCTCTCTCTCGTAACTTATTTGTTCATTTTTTAAAATAATTATTTACACGAAAAAGGAGGAGAAGGAGACAAGACCGGGCCCCACGTGGACGCGGGCGCTG